TGATGGCAGTTATTCTATGGAAAAGTAAATGGGAAAAATATGGATGGTATCCGACATATATTCCGATTTCTTCAGTTGCTCCAGTCTCTGTTTTAGTCTTCGGTGGAAGTCTAAGCTCCATTATTTTAGGTGCATTTATTGGTGCATGTGTTGCTCCACCTTTAGCCGCTTTTATTTCAAACAAGCTTCCTAAATACCAACATCCATATATTGGCAATGTGGTTTCCATGGCAATTACATCACTATTGGCTTTGGGCACAATTCATCTGGTTTCCTGAATCTATATTTTTATATACAAGGAGTTGTAATGTTAACGTGTCCAGTAAAAGGCTATTTTTCTGAACTTGATGTTGAGCAAATTGCGAAAATGCTTAGGTCAAAAGAAATTACTGCCAAAGCACTTACACAGCAGAGTTTAAATTCAATCAATCAGCATAAAGCGTTAAATGCATTTTGTTATATCGATGATGAATATGCGATACAACAAGCAGAATATGCAGATGAACTTTTTAATCAAGGAATAGATCTTAGCCCGTTACAGGGTATACCGATTGCGATAAAGGATAATATTGAAACTGCGCAACTTATAACCTCTATGGGGTCCAATTTTTTCAAAGACTATTTACCTGAAGTCGATGCTGAATGCGTACAACAACTTAAAGCTTTAGGCGCGGTGATCATTGGAAAAACCAACACGCATGAGTTTGCCTATGGGCCAACAGGGGATATTTCGGCACATGGCGCGACAAAAAATCCATGGGACCTTGCAAAAATTTCAGGTGGATCGAGTTGTGGTAGTGCTGTAGCGGTTGCTGCTGGACTTGTACCTATCGCAATTGGGACAGATACAGGTGGCTCGATTCGTATACCTGCAAGCTTAACAGGGGTTATGGGTTTTAAACCGACTTACCAGCAATTTTCAATGAAAGGCGTTTTCCCTTTGTCTAAGAGCCTAGATCATTTAGGAATATTAGCAAAAAGCGCTCAAGACATTGATTTGGTTGTTTCTTTATTAACACAAGAAAATCATCAAGTTGTCTCCAATGCGTTAGCAACCAGATTACCGAAATTAGGTTGGGTATCTATTGATAATTTTATTGAAAACTATGATGGCCCTTTATACCAGAAGTTAAAGCATCAAGTTTTTTCGCTTTGGGACAATCAAATTGATGAAGTGTCGAGTGCTTTAACGGCTTTTAAAGATATCCATCGCTATTTTTACGCTATCCAAAATAGTGAGGCATATGCCGTCCATCACCATCAAGTAGAGCACTCTCCAGCGTTATTTCAGAAAGATGTGTTGGAGAGGTTACTACAAGCTGAAGAAACCAAAGGCTGGGAGTATGTGAACGCATTAGATTTTCAAAAAAAGTACCAAGAAGTCCTTGCTAAAATTTTTGATCAGTACGATTACCTCATCATGCCGACATTACCGATACAAGCCACTGATCTGTATCAAAAAGATTTGTATTTAAATGGCACTTTCATAAATATTAAATCAGCTTTACTCAGTCTGACCAATATATGGAATTTTTTGGGAAATCCTGTACTCAATGTTCCGCTATGTCATGAAAATAAAATTCCGATTGGTATTCAGATCATTGGTGCAAAGAAAAGCGATCGTCATCTTTTGGCCTTTGCAGTGAATAATGGTTTTTAGTTTTTTTAATTTTTTCAATATTTAAGGTCTATTGGCCTGTTAATAAAATGATAATCAAGGATGATTTTATGAAACATGATTTGTTTAAATATACGGTATTCACACTACTTTTAAATGTGCCTTTAGTTGCAAATGCTGCGATTGAATTTGAGGGTAAGGATAACGATTCTAAGTTAACCGTTTCTGGTGAACTACGAGCAAGTTATCAGGAAAATAATTTTGAGAATAAGGCTTCGGATCAAAAAATAAAATTTAATACAGCTATTTTAAATATTGGGTATAGCTCTCCGAATATATTCGGTAATTTTCAATATCGCTGTTATCAATTTGATACCTTATGTGATTTTTCCACATTGGTACAAGCCAATGCTGGCTATCATTTAAACTCAACAGACAATCTTAAAGTTGGTTTACAGCCGATTCCTTTTGGGCCAGGGCAATTTTGGGACAGTAGTTTTTATGAAGGAATCAATACAACGATGGGACTTCAGGATACGATGAATTTAGGTGTTAACTACCATTTTGAGTTGCCCACAGTCACCAAAGTTGATTTGGCCTATTTTGCCGCTGATGGGGCTTTGTTGCACAAAGATTTAAAATTAAAGTTCACCTAAGTTATCTAAATTTAAGATACAACTCGGGTATGAGGTCTTCCTAAATCCGTGAATTTATTTAATACTGCTACACGTGCATGAATCTTGTTCGCCTGACTAGGGAAACTCCTTGATGTGAGCTTATCTATTATTACTCAATACCTACTACTGTGGTGATATAACCAGTCGTTAAAAGAATTGATAAGCCTAATGACATTTCAAATAAAATGGCATAGCCTAATTTTTTGGCAAACTTTGGGTCTTGTAAGCGAGGAGTGAAATACCATTTATTAAAGGCAGCTAATAATAAAATACTTAGAACGAATAAGATTTTAATTATAAATCCATGCCCGTAAGGAGTATTTAGTAGAGTATTGAAATCTTTAATGAGTAACAAAGCAATACTTGCACCGCAAGCCAGTAATATTCCTACGATAAAGGCTGCAATTTGTCCAAATAGATGCATACGCTCTTTTAATGGTAATCCATTAATTTTTTGGCTAGTTTTCCATAAAGGATAAAGTGCTCCCATCCATAAAGACATAACTAGTACATGTATTGATAATAAAACTTGAGCGAATAGGGTTAAGTTCGTGACATGTCCTAGTTGAGAAAAGCTGAAAACTATTGGTATTAGTAGTATGACAAATATTGTCCCTTCAATTTTGGAAATCTGATTAGTCCCTTTGCTTAGTTTTACGACCATGAATAGAAGTAAAAGCGCAAAACTAATCGTTCGAATGACATGGGTATGCCCAATAGGGGTACTCATTAGGATATTGACATAGTTAATATCCCACATCCCTGAAAGCCCAGTATTAGCAAAACTTCCAACTAATATAAAAAATCCTAGAGCGCTGGACAAAAAGCCTAAACCAGCACCAATGGTAATGTATTTAAGAATGGTAGCCTTGATTTCTACATAACGCCCAAGTAAGAAATAGCAAAAAGATCCACCAATAACAAAAGCGACCCCTAAGTATAAAAAGACTTTAACTAGCCATGTTGCATATATCCAAGTTTCAGCAACCATATTCTTCTCCCTTATCATAGCAACATGCCAGCAAATTGCTGGCATGTTGCTATTTGTGCTTTACTGTTATTTTTCTGATTTAATGGTGAAACTATATTCACCACTCATGTTGTGACCATCAGTACCCATCGTGGTCCAGACCACCGTATATTTTCCTTTTTTAAGTTTAGGTACAGCTACTTCAAATGATTTTTTTAGATCATGACTTACTTGGTAATTTAAAGGGATGTCTTTACGTTGAGCATCAAGCAATTTAACGTTCATTAGCATGACTTCACCACCAAAATTAAGCGTTATATTTTTGGTTTCGCTTGCTACAGAAGCATTGATAGCTGGGGTTGCGCTTTCAAGATTGACATGTGCAAATGCACTAGAAGCAGCAATAACCAAAGTTGCTCCTACAAGAACATTACGTAGAGCTGTCATTCTATTTTGAAAAATTTTCATTTCACTGTCCTTTTAAAACTAATATTTGGCTAAGTAATGGACCAGTAAAATTAATAGGCCTAGTAAATTGGTCATCACCTTTTGTAACTCTATTATTAAAGAACGAGAGATACACCCCGATGACTCCAAAATTACATTTTTGTCATTTTAAAGATTGAAAACTCACAAGTGCTAAACTGACTTTGTTGAATAAAAATGGCCATCTAATAAACAGATAATAGAAAATTTTATTGTAATTATGATGTGCTTTATAAATTAAAAATTATGTCTATGCATGAAGGAGGTTTTTATGGACCATCATAATCATGAGGCGAAAAATTTAGATAATTCACTTACTGATCCAGTCTGTGGTATGGCTGTGACCAAAGCATCAAAATTTCATGAAAGGCTAAATGGTAAAACTTATTTTTTTTGTAGTGAAAAGTGTCAAATACGATTTAATACCAAGCCCGAGTTGTATCTTACTAAGCAAGATGAAACAAAAATATTAAAAGACTCTCATAAGAAAACAGATTCAAGATTAATAGAATCTGTTCAGCAGTCTGAAGTAAAAGCAGCAACTATCTATACTTGCCCAATGCATCCTGAGATTAGACAGGACCATTCAGGAGATTGCCCTATCTGTGGTATGTCTTTAGAGCCTTTACTTCCTGATCTAGATGAAGCAGATGAAAATCATGAACTTAAAGATTTTAAGCGAAGATTTTGGTGGACCTTACCTCTGACGATTATCATCGTATTTCTAGCAATGTTTGGTCATCAGTTGAATTGGTTTGAGATGGAGGTGCAAAGTTGGATTGAACTTGTACTAACTTTACCAATTGTTTTTTGGGCAGGAAGGCCATTCTTTGTTAGATGTTGGCAGTCAATTCTTAATCGGAGTCCAAATATGTGGACCTTGATTGGAATTGGGACTGGAGCAGCCTTTATATATAGCCTTGTTGGAACAATAGCACCTCAAGTTTTCCCCGACTCATTTGTATCTATGGGGCGAGTTGCTGTGTATTTTGAAGCGACAGCAGCGATTATTTCTCTAACATTGTTAGGCCAAGTGCTAGAGTTAAAAGCACGGTCCCAAACTTCAGCAGCAATTAAATCCCTACTTGGATTGGCTCCTAAAACAGCAAGAAAAATCAGTGCTGATGGTGTGGAGGAAGATATTCTGCTATCTCATGTGCATGTAGGCGATTTATTGAGGATACGTCCGGGTGAAAAGGTCCCTGTTGATGGAATCATTACAGAAGGTTCAAGCTCTGTAGATGAGTCAATGCTGACTGGAGAACCAGTGCCTGTTACAAAACGCGTGGGTGATCAGGTCATTGGTGCAACAATGAATATGAATGGATCATTGGTGATGCGATCAGAAAAAGTTGGATCATCAACCGTGCTTTCTCAAATCGTACAAATGGTCGCTCAGGCTCAGCGTTCTAAAGCACCAATGCAACGGATGGCAGATCATGTTGCAGGGCGATTTGTCATGGGGGTTATTGGTATTGCTGTTCTAACTTTTTTGGGTTGGGGGATATTTGGACCTGAACCTAGTTGGGTCTATGGATTAATCAATGCAGTAGCAGTCTTAATCATCGCATGTCCATGTGCTTTAGGATTAGCTACCCCCATGTCAATTATGGTAGCAACGGGGCGAGGTGCGTCAAATGGGGTACTTTTCCGTGATGCTACTGCAATTGAAAATCTGCGTAAGATTGATACGTTAATTATTGATAAAACAGGTACTTTGACAGAAGGACAACCATCATTTAATAAAGTAATTGCGGTTTCAGGATATGAAAATAATGATGTCCTTCGTTTAGCTGCCAGTTTAGATCAGGGAAGTGAGCATCCTTTAGCTAATGCAATTGTACGTGCTGCCCGTGAGCGTAATTTTACGTTAAGTAAACCTACTACCTTTGAATCAGGCTCAGGTATTGGAGTCAAGGGAGAGATAAACGGGCAACAATTAGCTCTAGGTAATACAGCATTGATGGAGCAACTTGGAATATCTGTTAGTGCGCTCATTCTACAAGCAGAGGAATTAAGAGCAGAAGGTGCTAGTGTCATGCATTTGGCAGTTGATGGAAAACTTATAGGTCTATTGGCTGTCTCTGATCCAATTAAAGCAAGTACTCCTGAAGCTCTTCTTTCATTGAAAAATTCTGGTTTAAGAATCATCATGGCAACAGGCGACGGTTTAACAACAGCAAAATCAGTTGGTGCTAAATTAGGTATCAATGAAGTCTATGGTGAGGTTAAGCCAGCTGATAAGTTGGAGTTGGTCAATAAATTGCAAAAAGAAGGGAAAATTGTTGCTATGGCAGGTGATGGAATAAATGATGCACCAGCCTTAGCTCAGGCTGATGTTGGAATTGCAATGGGGACGGGAACTGATGTAGCAATGAATAGTGCTCAAGTTACCTTAGTAAAAGGTGATTTACGCGGCATAGAAATTGCTCGTTCCCTGTCAGAAGCGACTGTTAAAAATATGAAGCAAAATCTAATGTTTGCTTTCCTTTATAATGCATTAGGTATTCCTTTGGCCGCTGGTGTGCTGTATCCGTTTACTGGATGGCTGCTTTCTCCTATGATTGCAGCATTAGCAATGAGCTTAAGTTCTGCATCGGTGATTGGCAATGCCTTACGATTACGTCATCAAAACTAATCACGGCTGACTAGACTACTCATTAGCATAAGTTAATGAGTAGTCAGTATTTGAAAGAGTGTTTGATAGTCGAGATATCATTAATTTTTAAAGACAATTTTAAAAATAATACGCCCTTCTTCATAAGTAGCTTGAATTGTAGCTCCATGTACATCAAAAATAGACTTAGTAATTGCTAGACCTAAACCAGTACCTTCTTCGACTCTTTGTCTGGATGCATCTGTTCTATAAAAACGGTCAAATAATCGACTTAATTGTTCTGATGACAAAGGTGAACTTTCATTTTCAATGGAAAATAAGGTTGTATCGATGTTCTGTTGACATTTGATTTTGATACTCGAATTTGATTTACCATATTTGATTGCATTTGATAATAAATTACTCAGTGCGCGACGTAACATGGAAGGATCTCCTTGCACATAACCTAGACCAGTTTGTTCTAAAGTCATTTTTTTCTCAGAAGCAATAGCATCATAAAAGTCAAATAAAGCTGAAATTTCCTTTACTAAATCAATTTTTTGTAAGTTCGGTAAATGCAAACCGTGCTCGGCCTTCGCAAGGAATAACATATCGGAAACCATTCGGGCTAAACGTTCAAACTCTTCTAAGTTAGAAAAGAGAACTTCCTGATAAGTATTGATATCACGATTACGGGATAAACATACTTGGGTTTGAGTCATCAGATTATTAATAGGTGTGCGAATTTCATGAGCAAGATCAGATGAAAAATCTGATAATTTCTCTACAGCAGATTCCAATCTATCTAGCATATCGTTAAAAGCTATAGCTAAGGATCTAAGCTCTGTTGGCGTGTTATCGACGTCTAAGCGTTCAGAAAGATGTTGAGCTGAGATACCTTCTGCAACTTTTGCCATTTTTTGAACTGGGCGTAGCCCGCGCCATGCTGCGAACCATCCTAAGAACATTAAACAAACTGTACCTACAAAGCCAATATATAAAAGCTGGCGTCTAAAGTCATTTAAGAAATGTAGATGCTCAGATGTATCGATTCCAACTATAATTTGGGCTGATGGTATTGAATTATTACGATCAAAAGACTTTTTATAAACTAAGCCACGATAGGTTTTATTTTGAATTCTCCATTCAATCCATGGATTTTGATTTGATTTGATGAGTGCTTGGGCATTAATAACAGAAGGTGCTGAGCTAAAAATAACTTGACCAGTTGGACGTTCAATTTGGATGATCAGATCGTGATGTCCAACCAAGGCATCTTTCAAATATAAATTTAACTCGATAATGGAACACGATGCTCCTTTTCAGCTTTCATTCGTTCTTTCGGAATAATCCAAACCTTGGTTTCAAAATCAATTTCTTGCCAAGTTGCTCCAAAGATTTCACCAGAACGACATGCCGTTAAAATTGCAAATTTCAGTGCTTTTGGAGAAATACCTTCTTTCTGGCGCAGGTGCTGAACAAATTCTGCTACCTGATCATAGGGTAAAGAAGGGTGAGGGCGAGATATCTGTTTTAAATGACCTAGAATAGGCTCAAGATTACCTTCCCATTCGGCAGGGTTATTACCTCCAAAATATTCAATGGCTTTAGCACAATCAAAAATGGTTTCTATACGGCTACGAAGTCGCTTATGGTAGTATTAATTAAATTTACGAAAATAGACCGTCCTCACACTCAAGTTGCACCATAAATTTGAGTATATTAGGTTAGCTTTAACCTTAAAATCTTTGTGAAACAGAACAGTATGTATGTGGGTGAAGAAAATTTATTGTGGATATATTGTGATTTAAGAAAGGTAAATTATTATGATAACTGTTTTTTCTATATCGGTAATTACTGTGTTTTTTTCTGCTATTATTGCTTTATATAGTTCTAATAAGCTTGGTCTGATTTTTGAAAAAAAATAAGTAAACATGAAAATTTAAGTAAAGCGAATAAAGCTCTATTACTTCTTCTTTTTAAGATATTTGTGTTTTTTCTTGTTGGTAATTTTTTTGCTTACATGGTTGGAAAAATTTATACAAAAAATTTAGAACCTTATCAAAGTCAAATTTTTATGAATACTTATATTATAACGTGTCTATTATTATTTGTTTTTTATTCATTGAGAGGACGAGATTTAAGTGGAAAATAAATTTAAAAAACTATTAAGCCTCTTTTCGTAAATCAAAAAACACTCGCACGAGGAGTTCGAAAACAGGTTTGCTACAAAACAGTAATCGAACTCTAAGTTGATAAGTATATGTGCTGTGGTGTTGAAACAACTAGAAACAAAGAAAACGGAGTGTAGTAAAAATAGTAGTAATATAATTGAAATATTTTAATTGATACCTTATAAAACAATAACTTAATGTTTTAATGTGACTGTCACCGCTTCCGCCAAATATCTTAAAGGGAATCAAATGAATAGTTTGATTCCCTTTTTCTTTGGCACAATTTTGGTGTCATTCGAAATTTTAGCTGATGATCATTCAAGTCCATTGACGACGCTACGCAACATTTGGCTGCTATTGTATTGATCGCGATCTCAGCGAATAGCGGCATCCAGAGCCGTTCCAAACTGGACAAAATATTTTTCCATAGATTTTAGCCGCAGGCTTATTCATATAAGAATCATATTGCTGAATAAGCCTAGAGATAGGTTTGTGCAACAAAACCGTTTCTAAGCAAAATGCTGCTTTAAAAAGGGTATTACGCATTCTGAATATTGTTCAGGGAAATCTCGGTAAATATAAGTATGTTCTGCATCCGCGAAGATTTTAATTTCTACTTTTGTTACATGGTCGAGCCCTACTTTGAGCCGGTGGCCAAACTCGGGTGGGGTATAAATATCTTTTTCTCCATACATTAATAAGATGGGTGGTTGATATTTTACCTGTGTAGATTTTGCTAACGGATTGAGTTCCTGATTAAGCTTAGGTAGCAGTGTATTTGATACTTTGAGCATTGCATGAGCGACTGGATAATGTTTCCAAAACTCTGGTAATGTCGGAAATGCGCCTTCAAATACTGCAATTTTATAAGGGTGTCCATCTTTTGCTAATGAGCATAGTCCCCAAGCTGCACCAAATGACGCACCAATTAAACCTACATTTAATTCGGGTGTTCGCTTTTGAGCATATATCCCTGCATGATATACATCATTGGGATAGTCAAATGAGAATCCTTCACTTTCTCCAAAGCCATTAGCATCATAAATAAGTACGTTATAGCCATTTTTTAAAAATAGATCCGCATGTCCGTAACGGAGCCAAAATGCTTTAGCCGCTTTTCCCATTGGATGAGCAAGTACTAAAGTTGCTTTTGCCGCTGGTGCACTTTTCCAATAACCAGCGAGTGTTTGCTGGTCAGTTAAGGGAATAGTGACAGCCTCCCAGTCTTCTTTAGAAATAGCTTGAGGCCAAATCCAAGGTACTTCGAATCTTCCAAAAAATGGCTTTCGTAGAATTTGGTGAGCAATTTTTTTCATTTTGGTTATCCAATATTTTTCAAAGTTTATAATATCCAATAAAGTTCCTTTTTGGAACTTGTATTTCAAAATGTATTACTTATTGATTTTCTTTATGGAAATTGGGTATAGCTCATATTTTAATCATCTTAATGATACATCGGACAAACATGACGAATACGTTGAAATCAAGAAATGGAATAAATCAATTATCATTTATTTTTTAGTTACATATAGATCGCAATACCCATAATTCGAGTTAATAAGCCAAATTACTGAAAATAGATCCTGCAACAAAAAAATTGTCGTGTTTTAAAAGTCCAAGTAGTGTTTCTGGCATACTGTTGTTTTACCTTTATGCAGATTAATAAAGGCAAAATCATCATTTGCGGTGTGAACCAGTAAATTATGTTTTTGTTAGTGCTAGTATCCGAGACTACAACCAGAATATACAATACGACAAGGTTGTAAATTTTCACTTAAACAAAACACTAATGCACCTTTTTTAGCCCCATCCTCTGAAAAATCAAGTAAAATTTTTGATTTTTGACCATCATTAATTGGATCAGCTATAGCAACACAGCGATTAGAATATGTTTTAGATACTTCACATTTTTGTCCGCCATCCTGTTGACACGCTTTTAATGCTTTTGTTTGTGCCTCATCTTTAGATTTAAAATTTCTTGTAAAACCAATTGGACGCCCTTTTAAGCCTTTACTTTTATCTTCTGCAATTGCACCCCATAATGTTTCAATCATAGGGTACAAAGTTGGATTTTGATTCGTATATCCACCACTTCCTCCACCTGGAATAGGTGCGCAACCTTGAGCACCTTGCCCACCTATTGGATAATAGCCTGAAGGACAATTCCCTTCAGCATGTACATTCTCAATAGTTAAATAAATGATAAGAATAAAGAAAATGGATAAATAAAAAAACTGATTATTTGTCAATGTCATTCATTAAACTCCTTTAAAATCATGGCTTAATAATAAGAAAAGCTATGAATTATTTTAAATAAATTCTTTATTCTAAAAACTAGCATTTTTTCAAAAACAAGGGAAATGATTCTTCGGAATACTATTATATTTTCGCAGTATTCTTTTCGCTTGATTCCAAAAATTTTCGATTCCATTAATATGATTTTTCCCATTTGCAAAGCGATTAGAACAATTAATTCTATGATGGCAGAACCCCGCATCATCTAGAGCATTGTAACTACGCCATTGATCAGTATAGACGATGCTATCAGGTGTTATTTTCTTTGCAATTACAGACATTAAGGTACTTGATTTAGTATCTCGAATAACAACGGTATAGGCCACGCCATTACGCTTTAATAATCCAAAAACTATCATTTTATTCGTGGCACCACGACAAGGCTTACCCTTAGAAGTGCAGCCAAAATAGCTTTCATCTAACTTAATCTCACCATCAAATATTTCGAGAGCTTTTATCTCTAAATAATAAGCAATAATTTTACGAATTTTAGTAATGAACAGCGTAGCCGAATTATGATGAATTTCTAATAAATCAGCAGCTGCTCTTGCAGTCAGATCGAGCACGAAAATACTCGAAATTTTAATTGAGTTTTCTTGTTTAATTTACAATTGGTTCGCTTTATTTTCATAGATTAGCACCTTGTTAATCTAGTATAGCTTCTAATTTTTTATACCCAACGAAATTTTAATAGGGAACTAAATTGCCTAAAACTAATTGATTGTATATAAAACAAAGTTGTTGCTCTCCTTATTTAAAGAGGAAAGAAAATATAAAAATAAAAGGTGTAAATATATTTAAAAGATAAATAATTTAATATGATAGGAACGCAAAATCACCCACTATGAATCAAGGTGGCTTAGTAAAGAATTTTGAAGCATTATCAGCCCTCCTTTTTTAAAGGAGGGTGTTTTATGAATTTTTATCCAATAATTTAGCTTAATTAACTGGCAATACTCACTAGTAGATACTTTCTTATCAGTTCAAGTTCACTACTATGGGGAGTTTAATTTCAAATCATTCAATACGCTGTATTTTACGAGGAGCTGTTTCTTTAATAAAGAAACTGATGACTACACCAATACTTGTACCGACTAAGCTCAAATAAAAAATATTTTGAATACCATAACGTTCTGCGACTATTCCCGATAGGACTGGCGCAATACCTCCACCAAATATTTCTCCAGCACCGACGACTAAGCCGATTGAAGATGCAACTAAACCCGCGGGCGCAGATTCTGCCGCAATCGGTCCAGAAAGAAGTGCAATCAATCCTAAACTGAAAAAAGACAAGATAAATAATAAACTGAATAGACCAAGTAACGAAGGTGCTGCATTTGAGAATAAAAGAATAAAGATGGTTGAGCCAATGAAACTTAAGATTGATGCTGCACGACGGCCAATCCAGTCAGAGAATGATGGGATCAAGAATTGTCCTAAAAAGCCACCAAAACCAATTGCAGATACAATGATTCCCATGTCCTGTACATTCAATTTAAGGTGATTCTCTAGATAAAGTGGTAGCATTGCACTGATGACAAATACACAAGACATTGTGCAAAATAATCCAATCATACTGAGTAAAATATTACGGTTTTTTAATACAGCAATCCAATTCACTTTTTCTTGATTCTGAGTTTGTTTCTCTAAAATAAGTAATTGTCCACCTTGCGTTTGTTCAGGTTCACGTAAAACAAAAAAGAGAAATACTGCAAGAATAAAACCAGGAATAGCCACGACCCAGAAAACTTCACGCCATGAAGGAAGAACAAGCATTAATTGCGTCGCAATAATGGGTCCTAATCCTAAACCAAATAAAGCAAATCCACTCTGTTGTAGTCCTTGTAACATTCCTCTACGTGATGGTTTTGCTGCTACAGCAGTTGCTGCAAAACTGGTCGGACAAAAGGCACCCTCTGAAACACCCATGAGCGCACGTATAAGAATCAAACTAGTTAGCCCCATGGCAGCACCAGAAAAGCCAGATGCGAGTGAGAAAACAACCAAAGAAAGAATGAGGATTTTACGATGACCAATTTTATCTGAAAGCCGACCAGCAAAGATTGCGAAAACACCCCAAGTAACACCTAGAGCACCAAAAATTAAACCGACATCTTGATAGTTTAAAGAAAGATCTTTCATGATGGACGGAAGAAGAGGGGCAATGATCCAGCGATCTAATCCGACTAAACCAAATCCGAGTGTGAGTAAAAGTACGATCTTCCATTCGTAAGACGTGTCCCATTGTTTTTGCATTTTGTATTCCTTGTCATTCGCGAAGTGTTTAACTCGCGATTCCTGCGAGTTGACAAAAAGTATAATTTGCTTTTTTGGACTTTTTTGTTCGATTAGACCGAACAGTCTTGTCGATAAAACGTCCATTGTTATCGACTGTGGTATGACTTAATTTTTAATTGTGTCATGAGGACGATTGAGGAAATAGGATGAATACATATACAACAAAATTCGGAAGTATAGATAATTTCGAAAAAGGTTCAATTGAAATGATTCAAGGCAAACCATCACATTATGTATTTTCTAATGTGTTTGAAGTTGCGAGTCTAGCGGAGCCTTATGAAAAAACGGTTGTAGGGATTAATCAAAAATATGTGATCGAATCAATTCGTGCAGAAGGTACTTCAGAGTGGTTCTGTTGTGCACACGATGAATTTGTCATTTCAATGGATTGTGAGGTTCGTGTTGAATTTTTAAAACTGGAACAAGCAATAGATACTTCAATCGAAGGGACTCAGGCTGCAGGTGATCAACCGAAAGGTAAACCCATGGGTTATGTGGTGCTAAAAAAAGGCCATCAAGCCATTCTGCCTGTCGGCACAGCCTATCGTTTCAATAGTCAAAAGCCAGCAACGCTGATTTTACACACAATTAAAGGACCACTTTCTGTCGAGAAATGGTCAGAAATTTGTTTGAAGTAATAGGAGATTAGGGATGAACTCTGCACAAAATACATTTGCAAGTGAGCAAGTTGAAATCATTGGGAAAAATGAAACTACAGGGTATATCACATTTAAACTTGGCAATTTCATGCTTAGTCGTGATGAGTATTTTGCCAAGATTACATGGACTGCAAAAGGGAGTGAGCACTCACACTTAATGTCTGTCGATGCATTTTTAAGAGCAGTTATGCGTGATGTTGCTTGGGGGTTCTTCTACGGTTGGGTCAACTTCGATCATGTGATTGGAACTCAAAATCACTACGGTAGCGTCGATATGTATGCCGGTACATTTAATGGTGTACTCAATGCTGCTGGTGTGGACTACGTTGAAAATTTTGAAACACCAAAAATCATGGCAACATTTAAAGCCATTTTACATGATTGGGTAAATGCAGGTTTTGATCCATTTGCAGCACCGGAAGAAACTGGTAGCGCGTTCGGTCGAAAAAATGGTGAAAATATTGAAGCGATTGATCGTTATCGTATTGCAACCAAGCGCATGCCAGGTATGACAGGAGATTCGCCATTACGTGATGATTTACCAGTCAATCGCCAGTTTGCAGATGTAGATCAAGACGAGCCTTTAGTGCATTGTGAGCCAGGATTTGAAGGTGAACTCAGCGCATTTAATTTGTTTAAATATATGTCTCGTTCAGATGTGACGTGGAATCCGTCAGTGACTTCAGTTTGTAAGGCGAGCTTATTCTGTCCAACCACAGAAGAATATATTTTACCGATTTTCCATGGCAATGACCGTGTGGAATGGTTTATGCAAATTTCTGATGAAATTACATGGGATATTGCTGATAAAAATGATGGAAAACCTTTTGCACGTATTCTCATGAAAGCAGGTGATATCTGTGCAATGCCTGCCAATATTCGTCATCAAGGCTATTCAACAAAACGTTCGATGCTTTTAGTTTGGGAAAATGCAACACCTGATTTACCAGAAAAATATGCATCTGGTGAGTTACCACCTTATCCAGTGTCATTCTAAGCACATGTTCTCGGGCTAAGTTGAACTGTGAAGTAGATTTAGCCCTATTCAAAAGGTTTTTAAATATGAATACGCAATTACGTGTTGATGGGACAGTTGTACCTGAACAAAAGGTATTGGATCTGATGAAAGTAAATACACAACTTTTTATCAATGGTGAATTTGTTCCTGCCAAAAATGGTGGAACGATTGATGTACTCAATCCAGCAACAGGTGAAGTAATTACCAAAATTGCTGCAGCAGAAGCAGAAGATGTGGATGTTGCAGTGCAAGCCGCACAAAAAGCTTTTCCTGCATGGGCGGAAACACCAGCAGCAGAACGCGGTCGTTTATTATTGAGATTGGCTGATTTGATTGAAGAAAATTCAGAAGAATTGGCTCAGCTTGAATCTTTGGATACTGGGCATCCAATCAAGGATTCACGCCGTTTAGATGTACCGCGTACAGCAGCATGTTTCCGTTATTTTGGTGGTATTGCTGACAAGATTGAAGGCAATGTGATTCCCGTTGAACAAGGTTTTTTAAACTATACTACACGTGAGCCGATTGGCGTGGTTGGTCAAATTGTGCCATGGAACTTCCCACTGATGTTTACCAGTTGGAAACTTGGTCCAGCACTTGCAGCAGGTAACGTTGTGGTGATGAAGCCTTCAGAAATTACACCATTATCCACCCTTAAAATCGCTGAATTGATTAAAAAAGCCGGCTTTCCTGATGGGGTGGTGAATATTGTTCCTGGTTATGGTCATACCGCAGGTCAACGCTTAGCTGATCATCCTGATATTGGAAAAATCTCTTTTACAGGTTCAACACAAACAGGGCGCAGTATTGTCAATGCCTCTTCAGGCAATTTGAAACGTGTACAGCTTGAACTGGGTGGTAAAGGGGCAAATATTGTTTTTGAAGATGCCAATCTTGATGCCGCTGTAAATGGTGCGGCTTGGGCAATTTTCCATAATCAGGGACAAGCATGTATTGCGGGTTCGCGTTTGGTATTACATGAAGAAATTGCAGATCAATTTTTAGAGAAGTTCGTTGCTTTAGCACAATCTATTCGTTTAGGTGATCCTTTAGATCCGAATACAGAAATGGGGCCTTTAACATCAGAATTACATCGTGACAAAGTTTTGGCATACGCCAAAATTGCAGTGGAGCAAGGTGGGAAAATTTTGCTCGGTGGTACTGCGCCGCAAGATGCTCGTTTGAAAAATGGATATTTCGTCATGCCGACTATCGTTGAAGCAAAAGTAGATGATCGTGTTGCGCAAGAAGAAGTTTTCGGTCCTTTTGTTACTGTTATTCGTTTTAAGGATGATGCCGAAGCATTACAAATCGCCAATGGGACTGAATACGGCTTGGGAAGTGGTTTATGGACAAACAATCTACAACGTGCACATTTATTTGCTAAGAAAATCAAAGCTGGCATGTGCTGGATCAATAGTTATAAACGTGTCAATCCAGGTAGCCCATTTGGTGGTGTAGGCAAGTCAGGTTATGGGCGTGAAATGGGCTTTGAGGCGATCCATGACTATACCGAAGTTAAATCGGTATGGGTCAATGTTGATGCCATAATACCGCCGCACTTTCAACGAGGGGAATGAAATGCAAAATTTTCATTATAAAGCACTCCCAATCAATGTTTATTTTGGAAATGCAGAATCGCAAAAGACCAAAAGTATTTTAGTGGACAATGGCTTTTCTTCAGTTCTGGTGATTACAACACCAGAACAAGAAGAAACAGGCTTAATGATGGCAAAGCAGTTGGGTGAATTGGCTGTGGGTGTTTACCCACATGCAGTGATGCATGTTCCAACCGGTGTTGCTGATGAAGCGATTCAGTTTGCAACCAAAAAGAATATTGACTGTTGTTTGGCTTTGGGTGGTGGTTCGACGATTGGACTTGCTAAGGCGATCGCATTAAAAACTGGAATTCCAATTGTCGCTATTCCAACGACTTATGCAGGTAGTGAGATGACCACAGTCTATGGTTTGACTGAAAATAATCTCAAAAAAACAGGCAAAGATATCAAAGTACTTCCTAAAGTCGTGATTTATGACCCTGAATTAAGTCTGACTTTACCTGCTGGTATTTCCGCAAGTTCAGGAATGAATGCAATGGCACATGCGGTTGAGGCACTGTATGCACAGGATAAAAATCCGATTATTAGCATGATGGCAATTGAGTCGATTAAGTCACTTAGTCAGGCTTTGCCAAAAATTGTGAAAAACTCACAAGATATCGAAGCGCGTAAGCAAGCCACTTATGGTGCTTGGCTTGCTGGGATTTGTTTGGGTTCAGTTGGCATGGCAATTCATCACAAACTTTGTCATACCTTGGGTGGAACTTATAATCTACCCCATGCACAGGCACATGCTATTACTTTGGCATATTCAGCACATTATAACCGCAAGGCAGATATCCAAGCCATGGATCAACTTGCTCAGGCACTCGGTGGGCAAAGTCATGAACAAGTTGGACAACTGATTTATAAACTTAATCAACAACTGGGTATTCCATTGGCTTTAAAAGATATTGGGTTACCAGAAGACGGTCCAAGCGAAGTGGCTCGCATTACCTGTGAAAGTCCATATTACAATCCGAGAAGTTATGAAAGAGATGAATTGGAAACACTTCTTCAACGGGCTTATCTCGGTTTAGAGCCGAGATAATTTGCTTGATCAAAATGGAGTTTTGATATGCATGACGTCACGATGAGTGCAATAAATAGTTTTGAACAGATTCAAAATCCACGTTCTAAAATGTTAATCCAAAAATTAGTTAAAGCGATTCATCAATATATCAATGAGGTGGAATTAACCCAATCAGAGTGGGAAGTGGCAATAGATTTCTTGACGCGAACAGGGCAACTTTGTCATGACCAGCGTCAAGAATATATTTTACTTTCAGATGTACTTGGCGTATCTATGTTGGTGGATGAAATTAACCATAGCAAAAATCTAGCACAAACACCGAGTACTGTTTTTGGTCCATTTTTTATTGCCAATATGCCGATCCGCAACTATGCAGAAAGTATTAGTGAGGAAAATATTGGTGATGAAACTCACCTGTTGGTTAAAGGGAAAATTTTAAATCAGCAGGGTGAAGCAATCGTGGGTGCCAAAATAGAAGGATGGCAAACAGCAGAAAATGGCATGTATTCGGGGCAAGATCCTCTGCAAGCAATCTCCAACTTACGTGGTGCATTTATCAGTCAGATGCAGGGTGAATATGCATTTAAATCTATTTTACCAGTCAGTTATCAGATTCCTTCTGATGGAACAGTAGGTGAACTTTTAAATTATTCCAAACGTCATTTTTGGCGGCCTGCACATATTCATTTCATGATCACAGCTGAAGGGTATCAACCTTTGGTCACTCACTTATTTATTCAGGATGATGAATATTTGAATGCTGATGCCGTATTTGGCGTCAAAGATCGGTTAATTGTTGGTTTTCAGCAACAGTGTTCCAGCGTGGAAGATCAGACTCAATTTACCTTCAATCAAAACTATAACTTAATCGAATATGACTTTGTTCTCAGTCAAGGGGAATGATGATGTCGACACGAATCAAGCTTTGTGAGGTCGATGATTTTTCAGATCAACAGGTCTTAAAAGTCAATCATCCGTTAAAAATAGACAAAAGCATTGTGATTATTCGCAAAGATGGGAAGTTTTACAGTTATGAAAATGTTTGCCCTCATTTTTTAGTACAGCTTGATTATCGTTCAGGGCAATTTTCAATTTACCAAAATCAAGTGATCATGTGCGCACACCATTCAGCACTTTTTGATATAGAAACAGGTTTATGTATCGATGGACCATGTAAAGGTCAAAGTTTAATTAAAGTTGAAAATGAACAAATTAATCAAGATATCTATTTTAAATAATTGTTCTGAATTCGTGAACACTGAAGTTGATCAAAGATGATTTTTTAAGCGATGGAACTAGATTAATTTAGACATGTTTAGGATGACATTTATTTTAACTAAATTAAGGAAAATTCAATGTTTATGAAGAAACTTATACTCGCATTATTTATACCGACAATACTTGTTTCGTCTTTGGCGTTTGCAGCTGACACTAAAAAGCCCAATGTTTTGGTGATTGTGGCTGACGATCTTGGGTTTTCTGATACAGAACCTTTTGGTGGTGAGATTTCTACCCCGAATATTAAAAAATTGGCTAAAGAAGGTGCTATTTTAACTAATTTTCATACGGGTCCTACTTGCTCAGTGACACGTTCAATGTTGTTGACAGGTAACGATAGTCACCAAGCTGGCTTTGGTACGATGGCAGAATATTTACAACCAGAACAGAAAGGTAAATCAGGTTATGAAGGTCGTTTGAATAATCGTGTTATTACCCTAGCTGAAATTTTAAAAACGCAGGGATATGTATCATTCGTTACAGGTAAATGGCATTTGGGTGCAACGGAAGATAGCCATGCAAAAGCGCGTGGCTTCGATCGCTCATTTACACTCATGCCAGGAGGTGCTGCACATATGGATGCTAGCCAAATGTTCCCTGGAAATTATAAAGCACGATATTTTGAAGATGGTCAGGAGGCAACTTTACCAAAAGAATTTTATTCAAGTGACTTCTTTACCAGTAAAATGATTTCCTATATGGAAAATGACCGTAAAAAAGGTCAACCATTCTTTGGATATTTGGCTTTTACTGCACCACACTGGCCTTTACAAGCACCAGATCAATATTTAAAGAAATATGATGGATACTACAAAGATGGCTATGAAAAAATTCGTCAAACACGCTTAGAGCGTATGATCAAATTAGGCATTATGCCAAAAGGAACCAAGGTTAATAACCCGTTGGCAGATGCATTCCCAGCTTGGGATAAGTTAACCGAGGTACAGAAAAAAGATCAAGTGAAGACCATGCAAATTTATGCAGCGATGATTGATAACATGGATCACAATATTGGTCGTGTGATTGATTATCTCAAACGTAGTGGTGAACTTGATAATACTTTGATTTTATTTATGTCTGACAATGGTGCAGAGTCTGCCACACCAGAATCATTAGGCACCACTGAAGACAAAAATGGTATTCGTGAATGGGTAGATACCACATTTGATAACAGCCCAGAAAATATGGGTAAAAAAGGTTCTTATGTAACACTTGGGCCTCAATGGGCGCAGGTTGCATCAACGCCACTGCCTTATTTCAAAAGTATTTTGTCAAATGGTGGAATTCATGTTCCAGCCATTATTCGCTATCCAAGCGAAATTAAATCTGGACAGATTCAATCTGAAACGATTCATGTGATCGACTTTGTCCCAACAATACTTGAGCTGACAGGTGCTCAAAGACCTGAAAGTTATAAAGGTAACCCATTATTAAAAATGGAAGGTCGTTCATTCTTATCTGCATTTAAGGGAAGAGCATTACCAGAACGTGCATTAGGGTGGGAATTTAATACACGCAGAGCTTTGTATAAGGGCGATTGGGCTGTTCAATATCAAGCACCACCTTATGGCACTGGTGAATGGGAACTTTATAATCGAAAAATTGATCCATCATTCTTGAAGAATTTGTCATCTCAAAATCCAACAAAATTGCAAGAGTTAGCAAAAGATTGGGCGGATTACGCACAGCGTGTTGGTGTGGTGGAGGCTCCTGTTCGTTATAAATATGGTCAAATGAACTGCTTCTACGATAAATGTATTCAACCTGAGTTCTTAAAAAAATTATCTAAGCAATAACCCATATAGAAACCAAAAGTAGTTTTTTATTGAATCAAGGTACGAGCTTATCAATGTTGATTGATCATCTACTGGTGATGGGCTCATCTTGTATTCACTAGAAAATATCATTTTGCTGGTTGTCTAAGAGATGTTGGCATGAAGAGTTTTCATAGTGTAGTGCTGTTGGGGAGTATTTTTCTAGCAGCCTGTGGTGCTCCTACAAAGCAGGAACACGTAAAAACTTCACCGAAGTTAGGAAGTTTAGCTCAATGTAAACAATATTTGGGACTTCCTCATGATTGGCGAAAAGACCCTCAGGCAGGTATGGTCAAAATTCATGGTGGAACGTTCAATATTGGGAACAATAAAAGCTACCCAGAAGAGCAAGCACTTTATAAAAGTGAGCGTACAGTCAGTGACTTCTGGATCGATGCGACAGAAGTTACGAATGCACAGTTTCAAAGTTTTGTAAACGAAACAGGTTATGTGACTGAAGCGGAAAAGCAGGGTGAAGCAGCTGTATTTTATCAACCGACACAGCCAGTATCAGAATTGGCATGGTGGAGTTTAGTCAAAGGAGCAAGCTGGAAGCAGCCTTGGGGAGAAAATGTCGAACGGAAAACTCAGGCAAATGAACCTGTCCGGATGATTACACTGAAAGATGCGTTAGCTTATGCAAACTGGTTAGGTCGAGATTTACCAACTGAAGAGCAATGGGAATATGCAGCTAAAGGTTTTAGTAAAATAAATGAAACTCATGCCGATAGCGAACATGTTGATGCGAATATTTGGCAAGGAGAGTTTCCATATCAAAATGAAAATAAAGACGGTTTTACTGATGTTGCACCTGTAGGATGTTTCAAAGCCAATGGTTTTGGTTTATTCGACATGATTGGAAATGTTTGGGAATACACAAATAGTCCATTTAAAGGGACGCATGATGATCACATGGGCATGCAACAACTTAATACGAATCAAGCCCAAACATTTAATCGTTACACCATCAAAGGAGGATCATTCCTTTGTGCAGTGAACTATTGTCAGCGATATCGAGCTTCAGCCAGACACCCGCAAGAAATTGATTTAGGTATAAGTCATGTGGGATTTAGAACGGTAAAAAACATACTATAAATTAATGGATTAATGATGAAAAAAACACTTTATATTGTGCCATTGGCTTGTGCCATGGCTGCAACGGGTAACTATGTCTTTGCAAAAGATGTCAATATTGATGTAACCCTGAAAAACTTATACGCAAATCGTGATCCTGATGAACAGACTAAACCAATTACTGGAAGCTGGAGTCAAAGTGTTATTGCACTTGGAAATACTCAATATGCATTATCAGATGACACAAAGTTGCTTTTTACTGGATCGGTACAATATGCGAGACGTTTGAGCGAAGATAAGCATTTAAATGACATGATTTTACCTTTTGATGTAAATACACAAAAACAGGCTTCAAGCTATAATAAAGTAGCTGGGTCAATGGGTGTACAGCATAAAAATCACAAAGTCACTTGGGGAGAACAATGGGTAGATACGCCACTGGCGACTACAGATTATAGTCGGCAACTGATCACTATTTATCAAGGTCTATTATATTCTGGTCAATTGAATGAACAGTTAAATGTGGATATTGGCTATTTAGATAAATATTCACCACGAAATGAAGAAGATTTTAGAAAAATTTCTGTCAACAAAAAAGAATCTGATGGATTGGCTTATATTGATTTAAAGCACAAAGCTTTCGATAATAAATTACAGACTCAGATTTTTGTGAGTGAATTAGAAGACTTATATAATCAATACTCTATAGGACTGAACTATAAAAATAGTATTGAACAATTTAGATTCAATACTAAATTTAGATATTATTATACAGAAGAAACAGGTGTTGAACTGCTTGGTGATATTGATAACCAATATATTGGGCTACTTCACGAGATTAGTTACGGGCCAAATACTATTGGTTTGGGCATCCAAAAAATTGAAGGAGATAGTAATTTTCCAATGTTAGATGGTGCCGTTCCTGTCCTCAGTTATATTAACTGGACACAAGGTACATTCAATAAGGCAAATGAACTTTCATATCATGTTACCTTTAATCATGATGCAAGTTGGGCATTACCAGGTTTAAATCTTTTACTCCGTTATGTAGAAGGCCAAAACTATATGATCAATGGTCAAAAAGGATTTGATGAAAGTGAATTTGATATCATTATGAATTATCGTATGAATGAAGGACGATTTAAAGGACTTGGTTTTCAGTGGCTAAACTTAAATTATAAAAATGATCTTAAAGGTGATTACATTGAGAATAGATTCTTTACCACTTATACGATGAATTTTTAAAGATTTTAGAATCAAGAGGGGATTTTTCCCCCTTTGATTTATTTTATAGGCGTCGGTTGATAAGCAAAAAGAACAACACTATCTTTGGTTTTTTTCCATATCGACAGTGTGCGATTTTTTAATTTAACAGGTTTACCTTGTAAAAGCAGTTCAGCTTCAAATATTGCAAAAGTTAAAAGGTTATCTGAAAACTCGACAATATTTTCAATATTATAATCAATTGTTTTATAAATATAATACTGACTTTCTAATTTTTGCATATAGCTAGAAAGATGATCTATTTTAGCACTACTATGCACATAGATCAGTTCTGGATCACATAAGCTTTCAAATTTTTTATAATCTTTTTGTGTTAAGGCTTGAAAGCGTTCTTTCTCAGCCATTTTTACAAGGTGAATATAATCCATAAAATAAAATCCGAGGTTTAAATCATTTATTCTATTTCAAATTGGAGGAGGAATTTGTTTCTAAAATGGAAACAATCAGTTTGTATAATTAAAAGAATAGACAATTTCTTTATTCAATATAATAAATATAAGCCTATAAATGATAAGTAAGTCCTATGATAGACAAAAGTGCGGCATCCTTAGCCGAGATGCTCTCTCAAATCCAAGATAGTTCGACCATTATGATTGGTGGCTTTGGAACAGCAGGACAGCCCGCAGAGCTGATCGATGGGCTGATTGAACTTGGCGTTAAAGATCTGGTGATTGTCAATAACAATGCAGGCAATGGCGATTATGGTCTGGCTAAACTGCTTAAATCAGGTGCAGTCCGTAAAATCATTTGTTCTTTCCCACGTCAGTCGGACTCTTGGGTATTTGATGAACTCTACCATGCGGGCAAGATCGAACTTGAACTGGTTCCACAAGGTAATCTCGCGTGTCGTATTCAAGCCGCAGGAATGGGTTTAGGTGCAGTGTTTACCCCAACAGGTTTTGGCACCTTATTGGCAGACGGCAAAGAAACTCGTCATATCGATGGCAAAGACTACGTGCTTGAATATCCGATTAAAGCAGACTTCGCACTGATTAAAGCACATCAAGGCGACCGTTGGGGCAACTTGGTTTATAACAAATCAGCACGTAACTTTGGTCCAATCATGGCGATGGCTGCAGATGTCACCATTGCACAGGTTTCAGAGGTGGTTGAATTGGGTCAACTCGATCCTGAGCATATTATTACCCCAGGGATTTTTGTTCAGCATGTGGTTGCAGTTGATGCAGCCAATGGTAATGGAGAATAACAATGAGCTACCAAAAATTAAGCCGTGACCAAATTGCTGAACGTGTTGCCCAAGATATTCCCGATGGGGCTTATGTCAATTTAGGCATTGGTTTACCGACCAAGATTTCAAAATATCTGCCAACAGACAAAGATGTATTCCTACATTCTGAAAATGGTTTATTGGCTTTTGGTCCTCCACCTGCTAAAGGTGAAGAAGATCCTGAGCTGATTAATGCTGGCAAAGAATATGTCACCATGCTAACGGGTGGCTCGTTTTTCCATCATGGTGATTCTTTTGCCATGATGCGTGGTGGACATTTGGATATTGCTGTATTGGGTGCATTCCAAGTGGCGGCTAATGGTGATCTTGCCAATTGGCATACCGGTGCGCCAGATGCAATTCCTGCGGTGGGTGGTGCAATGGATTTGGCTGTAGGGGCCAAGAAAGTCTTTATCACCACAGATCAGGTGACCAAGCAAGGTGAACCCAAGATTGTAGAAGAGCTGAGCTATCCAGTAACAGGCAAACATTGTGTTGATCGTATTTATACCGACCTATGCGTGATTGATGTGACTACAGATGGCTTAAAAGTGCTTGAAAAAGTTGCAGGTCTGAGCTTTGAAGAATTACAGGCTTTGACGGGTGCTCAATTGATTGATGCGACACAGGGATAATAAATCCCTCCCCTGCGGAATGATTAAATCTCCCCTAACCCCTCTTTATGAAAGAGGGGAACTTCTTCTTTTACAAAGAGGTGAGCTGCGGTTGTAGCAGCGCAAGGGAGATTATTTAAGGATATAAACAACATGAAAAACG